CCGCGAGGGGGGCGCCCTGGGCCCCGCGCCAGCGGCGGCCGCCGTGGGGCCGGGAACGCGCCACGGAAACAGGAGACCGCTCCAGGGGCAGGGAGTCAGCGCCGGGATCGGYAGCGGGACCGGTTAAAACCGCCGCAAACGCCGCGGTTTTAGGCACGGCTTTGAATCAGGGTTGTGCAATTGTGCCAAGGCGCTTCTGTTTCCTTCATTGCAAGGGATGGAGCAAGGGACTTTCGCAATGCTCCATAACGCTTCCCCTGCGAAGTGCTCACATAATCAGTCTGGGTGGTTTTTTTTTTTTTTTTTTTTTTTCCCCACTTTTAAAGATTGGAGACAGGAAATATTTTTCAATCATGACCTCTTTCACTTTTGATTTCATATTTTCTGGCACTCCTAGTCACTTCTGGGAAAATAAATAAATAAATAAATAAATAAGAACAAACAAACGAACCCTGCAGTGTAGACTTGCTGCCTGTAGCCCTGGATGTTTTTATCAATCCCCCATATTCTGATAAAATGTTGATTTTTTCATTTGTTTATCTTGCGTACTAAACTCAGCTGTGGTATAAATTTAAGAATGGGATATACTTTGACCTAAGAATAGTAATGTAGGTTTTGGAATGTTTCTGGTTACTTAAACCTGTAGTGATGCCACATAATTTTTGCCATTTTCATCTTCAACCCAAGCTCATTTCAGTCAACTCACATATCACAGAACATAACAGAGCAGTAGATTTAACATATAGAGCAGTAGATTTAACATATTCATTTACTCTTTGTGGAGGACAAGTAGTGAGTCAGTGAGTTCCACTTAACACAGTTTGGGAAGTCCATTTCTCAGGGGTTAGGTAATCTCTCAACCTTGTTTTCCCATCACTTCACTCTGAAGCAAAAACTTGCACTGTGGCTGTCCAGTGTCACACTGGCCGCAAAGCTGTAGGACTTTGTGGTGGCAGATCACCAAAGGGTAGCAGAAAGTTGCATCCTGTTTGGTTCAGTGTCTGTCATTATTGGAATAATGAGAATTTCTACTGTAAATTGGGAACTTATCAGTAGGAAAAGACTGAGAAGTTCAAGTATGAAGTATTTCCATTAGAGACAGAAAAATATTATATATTGATAAGACTGAATTACTCTTGAATTACAGTTGGTGGAACAAGTTGATCGTAGGACACTTTTTCTGACTCAATCATATCATGAAGACATTTCAAGAGCTTTCTGTATACAATAAAACTGTAAGTGTGTGGCTTGTTTATTTTAACAAAATGAAAGCTAGGAAGCCTAGCTGTGTACTAAGGGTCAAATAATAGAGAGGAAGAAGAGCTATTTAAATAAAAAACACTAGCTTAAGAATGAACAGGTATCCACTGACAAGGAATATAACTGGACTAAAAAATATGATATTTCTAGTGATGTGTCGGAAAACAGTTGCAATTAGGGTAATTGGGAGAAAAACTTTTGATGAAGACAGAAGGTGATGAATTTGTTTGAGAGGTTATGACTGTCTGCAATAGCAAAGAACTGGACTTAGTAAACGAAAATAGTCCCTGTGAGAAGTGTCCTCTGCTTTCTAAGCAGCTCCATGAAGTCTTCATGTTCCTTGCTCTGGGAATGTCCATGCTTTCTCATGGGAAAAATCAAAGCTGCATATTATTGATTTGAGTATTGATTATTGATTGGTTGGATTATCCCAGATCTGAACTATGATGAGACTCTAGTATGTTTTGGTAGTTCTGCCAGATCAGAGATGATGATTCATATGGGGAATCTGTAGCGTTTATGGATAATCTAAAATTTGCAATGCAGTTCAGATGTCTCCAGTCTGGTATGAATAAATTCCACTGGGCTCCTTCCATCTTCCATTCTGTCAAGGACTGTGATGTGAATACCATCCCCGACAATATGTACTGCTGCAGTATAGTAAATTTGACCAGAAGGAGAGGAATGTCACCCACCTGTGTTAGATTTATAGCCTGCCTGTAGCAGCAGTGACCAGAAGCGAGGAAACTGCGAAATCATAAATGTCTCAGCTAAATGTCTGAGGAAACTAAAAGCACTTCTGCACATCTCCCTGCAAATACAGGTAAGGCCACATACCTTAGCTCTGCAAATACAGCATCCTAGTTCAGTGGTGTATTAAGAACCTTCAGACAAGTCCTCTCAAGACCATGGACCAACCCCSTGTGGGATGGTGCCAGTTTGGATGCAGAAGCAGGAGCAAGGCTGGTGCTCTGCTGTGTGAGGAGATGCTCCAGCATGGSCCTGGTGTACACGTGTGTGTGAGCAGCATTGTATGGTGTATAAATGCACCTGCACTATTATATAGGGTGTAATTGCACCTAAGGTTTGGAGCCTTCTCCAGTTACCTGCTCTGAAGTTATTCTTTGCCAAATAGCCTACTTCAAGTGCTAGTAACACTGTAGCTCTCTAAAGCACTTGAGATTTTATGTTAGCATGGGTTGCTGGTGTTAGTCAGCAAGTAAGGATTCTAGTAAGTTCTTAATGAAGCCTCCAACACTTACAGTTACCTTCGTATCCATAAAGTACAGTATCACTTTCCTCACATTCCTATCCACAAGGGGACAGTCTTTCCATCTCTTACCACCAACTATAACACAGTTTAAAAGTTAACCCCTTAAAAAGCTACCACTTAATAAATACRTTACTAGGAAAAAAATGTGATTTTATATGTTTCTGTGCAKAAAATCTCACTATCAAGAACCAGATTTCCAAAAAGGAGACAGAGGAGTCCTAAAACTTTATTCAAATAAAGGGAGACTTCGCCGGGGCCTGCTCCTGTGGGGTCTCTCACATTACAGGGGGGCSCAGCCTCCTTTTATCCTGATTTCCTGGCCAAGGTAGGTCCTTTTCCCCATTGGCTAAGGGAGTTAGAAATTACAGACTTAGCCCGCCTAAGATATGTTGTTTCTTAGCCAGATATGGTCCCCCTCTCAGGTCACTCATATTTATTCACTTGCTGACAAGGAGCTCTCTGCCCCGCTCCTGTTTTCCCCACGCTGGGTGCATTGAGCTGCACCCACTGTCATACACACAGCACGACCTCCCTGCCCCTGCTCCCTAGTCCTGCTTGCTAAGGAATGCGGAGTGACTCCCCTATTTGTAAAGACACAAGCTTCTTTTTTCACTCTTTTTGAATACATTTTCTTATAAGAAAATCTTTGTAAGCTTATATGAAGCTGTTTAATGAATAGAGCCAAWCATAAGTAAAGTTACTTTAATGAAGGTAATGACGTGAAAATAGTAAGTATACAGCTATGTCTTTGCACAGTCAGTGCAAAGGGCAAAGTGAGTTTACCATGGCACAGATTGAGATATCCTTAGAAAAGGAGGAAACTGCTCTCTCTGATTAATCACTTCATTTCTTTGACTTTCCAGTAGCTTTAATAGTAGCTTTTCCAGTAGCGGTAATATTAATAATAATAAAATAATTTTCATTAGCATTATAGTAGATACCTTTTTATAGAAAAAAAACTAAAACTGTTAAAATTTAGTTTTATTAAATGTTATTACAATATTGCTTTTGTTATTATTGAATGCCTATAAGCAGGCATTCATATATATGCCTGTATGCCTGTAAACAGGCATTCATTCATACTTTTATCATATGATGCTAGGAGGAAAATAGCTTATATACAGATACTTTCATATGAAGTGTTCAGTTTAAGAAGATCTATTCAATTTATTGCCAGAGGAATTGAGTACTTTTGGGCATAGAAGACAACACTGTGTTTATTACTTCTCAGAGTCCTCACACAGTTTTTGGAATTCAACTTTATGTTTTCTGGTTTGCATTGTATTGTATRTTACACTGAACATACAGCAACACTTTTCTGATGCGAGTTAAGGAAAAGTTGCCGCAAAAGGCGAGCTGGCCCTTCAGGGAAGTTACAGAACCAAAGGACTGTAAGTTTCTCTGAATGCAGGAACGAGTCAGAACTGCTCCTCAGGAGCATATTTCATGCATACGTTGAGCATAATCTTGTCACTCAGCCTGCTTAGGATATTCTTGCACGCTGCTGTCATTAAAAACAAAATGTTGAGGAGAAGAAAGCAACTAAACCTAGAATCAAGAGACAGCAGCCTTCAAATAGAGCACTGTTTCTGAAATATAATGATACTATTGTAGGTGCTTTGGCCTTGCAAAGAGATGGGATGTATTTTCATCCCAAATATTTCTGGTGGAATATTAGAACATTATTTCAATTAAAAATATTAGCAGCATATTCTTGTTATTTTTCCAGAGATGAAGGTATAAGCTAAAAATGGTAATGAGGAGAAAGAGCTAGGTTTAATTTGAATTTAAAATCCTCACTATTAAGTCACTGCTTATATCAAGATTACTCACTGGATAGATTCTGCTAAGTGACTGAAGTGAAACTCTTTGGTTTCATTAGTGTTAAGATAAAACCTTATCTGTGGGGACAAAAATGAGGGAAATTACTCATGATAGGCAAAACAGGGTTCACTAACCCTTAAATGAAATTTCTGGCCCAACTGTAAAGTAGTTTGGTTATTTAAGAGATGGGATTCACTGTTAAACTGGAATAAAATTTTCAAGATTTCATCAAAGAACAGAGCCTATTTTAGAGTCAGAATGACTCAAATGTGTGATCAGTGATAGAAACTCTATTGAAAAGAGATTATAATGAAATGCCCATTGTTTATGGTTTGCTCATATTCTTTTCTGTGGGTTTAATGACATTTGTTTTCCTTATAAAATAACCATCATTGCTTACTGTGTTATTTTATTTAATTTCATATAGAGTATTCCTTGATGCCTTATGACTCAAAGTCACAATGC